ACCTTAGTGATTCTGTGATTCTGTGACATTAGGATAACCCCCAAGCCCCATAAAGAGTACAGTGTCCATGCTCAGCTGTGGTTGGCACTTGCCGTCATCCTTCCTCCCTGGAAGGAAAGGACAATTCCCAGCAGTAGTGGTTAGAAGGAAAGGTAGGAGTTCCTGAATGATGTCATCACAGTCCTGTGCATGTACGTCAAATATTTTATTCTTGAAATAAGAAAATTGAAATTTACTTGCACTGCCTGGACTGAACTGTGCTCTTGCTCCAGAGAAACATATCCCACCTCCAAGGTTTTTACTGTAGAAAGTAAATGTAGCAAAGAATGTTAAGCAGAAGTATTTGGTGATTGCTTTAGGTAAGTATTTATCCCTGAGCAATGAGTTATGTCTGGAATCCAGCTGTCCCCATTGAATGGGATTACTTCACTGAGGGACTTGTGTCTCTGGCTGTCATGTGCTGGCTGGAATTGAACACTACTGTGTCTGGAGACATCACTGCTCTTGTAAAAGATGGGTCTGGCAATTTAATTTGGCCAATCATTTTTAGTTAGCTTCATGGCTCTTCGTGTTCAGAGTTGTCAGAGATGAAAACAGGGGAAGGGGCCTTTGCTGTTCTTTTGCTTTGGTCAGAGACTTGCTGTACAGGCTTAGATAATTTCCTTTCACTTGCCAAATGTGGCTAACAGGGAAACTAAGGCTTTAAAATATTTCTGTTTGATGATGTTGTCTAATGTTATGTATCCTGAAAATGCTTGTAAATCTTTGCTGGAAGGTTTTCTCAGAATATATTGTCTTGAAGATAAGATCACCTCTAGTCCTGTCCCATTATAGCAAGCTTTTGTAGACCGGGTAAGCTTGTGACCTTAACATTTCTGGCTGAAAGTTGTTCTGTAGCGAGCAGCATATTTGTGTCTTTCTTCTCTTTTAGAACATCCAAACTGCAGGCACAAAATGCGGTCATCTCTGGAGGTTTATTTTGCAATCACCTGCTGTATTTCTCTGTGACACAGTTGTTCTCAGTAAGATGTGGACCTTATTCATGCAATAATTTAATGAAATTGCAAAGGCTCGCAAAATTAGGGGAAAAAAAAAGCACTGTTAAGTTCACAGTTAGAAAATACTGGGATACTCTTGTAACGCTCTGTATATACGCTACCACCACAGGCTGCCTGTAGGTGTCAGGGAAACCTAACCGCTTGGTTCTCTGGAATTGCCGCGTTGATACATTTGAAGTCCAGACCCCACTGATTTTTACAGAAGGGCTGAGTACCAGTACTTGATATGTGCTTAAGATGGAGTTAGAGATGCTCAGTACTTCCAGGCAGCAAGATCCAGATGCACAGGTCCCAGGAGAGCATTATAAGGCCAAATTTTAATGGGTAGCTAATGGGAGGGGTTATAACAATTCGCTGTGCGCTATCCATATCTGTGTTGTTGTTTCTTCTTTCTAGATCATTATATTGAAGTCCTCGCATGCAAAGTGCAGTGCGAGAGTAATCTGACACCCATTATAGGAGGCTTTGTTGTTGAGAAATTTGTGGCCACCATGTACCATTACTTGCAGTTTGCTTATTATAAATGTAAGTAGTGATTTAATGGGCTTAAATAACATTGGGATGATGTGGGACAGTTTCCATTCATAATCTTTTCCCTCTAGTTATAATGCTTTATCATGTAAATAGTGGTCTCCAGAATCTGCGTTTTAACCTGTTCTGGGACAGAAAGTCTGAGCTGTCTGGCATCTTTTTCGCCCTGTAGTTAGCAGACATGCAAGATAAATGTTACATATAGAGCCCATGCTCATAAAATTGTCCATGACAAAGTAAATTGCTGAACATAAGTCCCGTAAGGGCTGCATTTTGCTCAGGGCAGGCCCCTCTCTTTTGAGCTATGTATGGTTGTGACTGGTTTCCATTGGGAGTTTGGAAAAATGAGGCAGTTACAGAGTAAGTATGATCTGATCCATCGCTGCCCTTTGTTCTTTATACGATACCTACTCTCAGCACAAGTTGTTTACCCTTTTCAGAGTTTCATATAAATGATAAATGTTCATCATATGTATTTTAGATGTTTAAATGATACACCAACTCTTCTGCCTTTTTGAAGTAACTCATAACATCTTAGGGTAAACAGTGTCAGCCACTTCCTATACATTGGAACATGTGCAATGACACAGACCCATTTTGTACACCTGTGTACAAAAAAAACATGGTTTGTGGCAAAAAGCCATGATGGTCAAGCTGTCAGGCCCACATGGTTGTTAAGCAGTTGAATGCATAGCTCTAACATGAAGATTTTTCTTAAACTTTTAACTCATTCAGAGAGAAGAAAGATTGTGACTTCAAGGCAACCCATTTAACATAATACTACTTATTCTATTGATTAAATAGTCAATATTCAATTGACTATTTGGAATTTTTTCCACAGACAAACCTACAGAGTATTTCAAACCTTTCACTTCTTCCTAGTATTCTTATAATCCTGTCAGAATGGGGCAGATGGGGCTAAATGGGTTTTGAAGAAAGAGGGGACTACTTAGCAGAAATTGTAGTGTTGTGGTGCTCAGTGATTACACATTTGATGATAGGTAAATCATTCAGTGAATTTTGTGGTTTCTTGAGGAACTACCTGCACTGTAAAGAACATATGTAGCCCCTACAGCTACTCCTGCAGGCTCCAACACCAAAGGGAAGACACATCCAGCCATGTAAAATCAAGCCGTTAATGACTTTTGCTTATGTTGTTTGACTACACGTTTTACACATTGAATCTTCCCTCTTTGTCCATTCTAGAACAAAGAAGTGGGGTTTTTTAATTGTTTGTTTGTTTGTTTTTTAATAAATGCCCTAACGGGAAACACCAAGCTGTGGGCTGATACCTCACTGATCCTGGGATACCTGGGAGGGGACATTTGGTTAGGATTTTCATAGAAAACCATCAGAGATAAGTCCCCATTTTTGAATCATGGCCTTAGTTGTTTCAGAACACAAAAATAGCATATAGTTTCTGAGAAGAAAATTTTTTTTTTTTTGCAGCTGGTGAGGAGGTAGAAAATGGGTCCTGTTTCCATCTGAGTTTTTCAGAGCTTAGATATTAGTAGGAATTTGTTCATTTACCTTATCTGGATTTTTTTTGCTTATGTTTATTAATTAGTGAATGACATGAAGAATGCAGCTTCTTGTGCTGCTAGCTACCTTCTATTTGACCAGAAAGATGAAGTAATGAAACAGAACATGGTCTATTATCAGTACCACAAAGACAAATGGGGACTTAAAGAAGAGGATTTTCAGCCCAGATCGGTAGGTGGATTATTTAAAATGCCTTCTAGATACATTCAGATATTTCCCTGAAACTCAGTGGGTCAGAGGTTGGGAAAATGGGGGTTATCTATTGGTTCTGGAATTAAACACATACTGTTTTATTAAAACCATAAAGTTGTACACAGAGATGTACTGTGTAATGGAAACAGTGAATGTAATTATAGTTCTTCCCTTTATGTTGAAATACACTACAACAGGATATAATACGATATGATGACAAGTGAATTCATGCTGGTACTTGTCTGCCACGTATGCATATTTATATCTTTATCTACCTCAATAAATACAGCAGCTGGCCCCTGAAATCTCCTGATGAAAAGATCACTCCAGTGACATTTGGGCTTTTGTCAATCACTTATTATTTGCCAACATGTAGTTGCCCACCTGCTTGTTATTTCAAATTCTGTGGGCATTGGAATGTGTCCGGATGTGATAACCCCAGCTAAACTCACTTTCTACTTACTCCACTTAGAACATAGTTGAGTGGATGAGGACAGAAAAAGGCTCAGGACCATATTGCATCTAATTATCTCAGAATACATGCTGCAAAGATCCAACAGTAAACATCAGTTCATCCAGCAATGATTGTGATCTGGCTTCAAAAAATTACTCTAAAAATGGGTTTCTATGCTGTTCTTAAATTTCCATGTCCAAGGATATTTTACATATAAAAGCATCTTTGCTGTGTTTCTGGAGTCCTGCAGCCTGGACTCTGACAATCAAATTGGATTTTTTGTCATTTCTTGTTACCAAGATTTCTGTAATGCAACTGAATTAACTGCTTTGTGGCACCTGAGTGACTCCTTAGGCATCAGTGGTATGTGCTGTACAAGTAGTTAGTCATTAGTGATACATGTTCCACAAATTAAATTTAGTGCCTTCTCTTTCTCTTAGGGCATGACTTCCCCATGGAAGAGTCATTTGAGTTAACCTAGCTGAAGCAACAGCGGGCACCCCACAGCGTAAATTCAAGTTGCCTTTCCCGTGTTGCTCCTTCAGACACCTCAGTCACTGAGACCTGTACTGGCCCAAAGGCATATCCCTTGATTCTTAATGCTGCATTAAGCTCAGTACATACATGTCGTGCTTAGGTGACCGTCTTTACCTGTAGCAAAACTGCAGAACAGTTCATGTATGCACCTTACAGGTTGCACCGATTTGATAATTATGCTTTCCTTCCTCTCAGGCCAGCTAGCTCAAGTCAAAAATACCACTCCGTTTGAGTTCAGTGTTTTTTTATTTGTGGACAGCTGTTGGGTTATACACACCTTATCTACACACTGGAAACCCAAGCCTGCCCTACAGGACCAACGGAGACCAAAGACAGCAAAAATGCATTTGGTTCTTTCAGGCAGCAGCAGCAAGTCTGAGCTCACAGGGGAAAGGGAGCACTCTTTTGTCACTGCTTTTTGGAACAGAACTGTGCCGTATAGCCATATTGGAGACAATGTTTGGCAGTGGTGGGAATGAGGGCTAGCAACAGTGTAAAACTGCAAACAGCAGACAGATTTGGCATACATGTGCAGAGAGGACAGAACAAGGGCCCTACACACTAACTCTGAATGTTTCATTCATAACTTCTCAGGAGCTGGTGACTACAGATAATTTAATTTTTAAATATAAAATATTAAATGCACACAGCTGTATTTTCTTGTACTTTGATCCATGTAACTATGAACAGAAGTTGCTTGCTGTCCTAATCACTTGCCATGAAAACCATAATGCCTCTGGTTTATTTTCACAAAGTGGAACGGAGTGACAGCAGCATTTGGCTCTGGCACTAAGGTTTAGATGTTCTTGTGAAAGACGAAGTCTCCTGTTTTCTTCCCCCAAAAGAGTTAAACAGGATAATGAAAGTAGATTACTGTTGGTACTCACAAATGTGAGAGTAGACGGCTGAGCTAAACTGTGCTGTGCAGGCAAACGGCCGGGGAGGTGAAGTGGGACAGGTGGGTGACCCTCCAGAATTTCCCTACCCCAGACTCAGGCTGTGGTGGTGAGTCATTATCATGCAAAATAGCTTAGTGTCTCTTTTTCCCAGAACTGCCTGCTGCCGTACGCCAGCGCACAGGGAGACAGAGGCTTTCTCACGTCCAAAGCCCGCTGGAATGCAGGCACAGGCTGCTGCTCAGCTCTGGCAGTCTCATTCCTTATTCTCACACTCGCCAGTGCTTTGAAACATGAGAGAGTAGAGTGCTTTGTTCTTCTCACACCGATGGAGCTTGTGCTTAGATCCACAGAAGACATCAGATACGCTACTTGCTGTTCTGCTGTTTCCTTTCTCAAACTTTATAACCCCCCCCGGGATCTACCTTCTACTAAATCTGGCTCTGACTTCAACGGAATAATTTCAGGTGACATGTGATGACACTCCCTTGCCTTGCTACCCTAAAGTAACATAGAAATTCTGCTTTTTGATAGGAGGCAGTTCGATACCACAACATAACCACACTTCAGCTGGAAATGTATGAATTCGCAAAGGAACATCTGATGGATGATGATGAGGTGAGTTTTCTAGAAAGGAAATCGTGGTCAAAAAAACTAGCTATCACATTAAAGTGAAGATGATACATATATGGAAGTCCAGGATTTGGCTAATACGGAAAAATCTTGTAACCATGGCAAATTTGTCATAATTTTTTCTTTTGTAAATAGAATATAAGAAACAAACCCCCAAAACATCATGTACCATTTGAAAAAATACGGGGCAGTATTAACACAGGGGTAAATATAATGCACTCAGCCCACAAAAGAAGAAAATCCACTTTGCAAGCTATAACACCAGGGGGCAGAGGAGTAGTATATATATTTAAACAAAATGTTTTTCTGTTTGATTTTTTTTTCCTGAAAGGTTGTTTAAATTAGATTTAAGGATCCTTATAATTTTGTCCAGAAGTAACCCCCTAAATTGTAATTTTTGTCAAAAGGAAGTCTTGTTATCTGTTATCTTTTTCTGCACTGTAACATTTTGGTCACCCAGTCTTCTTAAATGATTGGAATTCAAGGCCAAATAACATATAATGACTACTATTAGACTAGAAATATGTAAAGTGGATTTTTTGTGCAGAAAAAGTAGTTAAATTGTTGAAAGGGCATTTCTTTGTTTCCCACAGCTGAAATTAAAGTATAAATCATGGAGGCTTTGGATTTCCTTTTGTTTTGCTTTGTTTTCAGAACCTTTCATTTAAAGATTTAAAAAAATCTTCAAATGGTAGAATAGTTCGTTGCTGCCATTGGCAAAGAGCTATGTTCTGTTATTGCATGGGGCATGGTGCTTGTAATGAACACTGCTGAAGTCTTTTTTAGTTAGAAAAGAGAAAGATGGTTTATGTTAAAAAAATTAAACTACCTTTGCAATTTTTATGTTATCCAGCACATAGGGAGAGATAATATTTTATAGTAGAGAAGTAATAACATGTCTGTGCTGCCTTCAGTATGCTAGTGACCTGAAAACAACTCTATACCTAAAATTCCATTGCAAGGTTACCAGACTTTAGGAAGACTTTCCATTGTGATAAAACTCTATGAAAGACAGTTTAATAAGCTTGTTATAAGGTTAACCTTAGATGAGGACTAGTCTGTATGGATTTTCATCAGGGTGTGAAATACTTGGGCATTTTTTTATATTCCCTTGTTGGTTTGTGCTTTGCCCGTAATGTTTTCTTATGTTAGACATAGACTTAATTTATACTTTTTCCCTCCTTTCACATCTGCTGCTTCAAAACACAGGGATGAGTAATTAAGGAAGGAGAGAAGCAGTCTGTTGTGAGGGCTTTCCCCATATGTTGTTACAAGAAAGTATTATAGAAAAAATCTTCAGTCTCAAGCAGTGTGTATAGAATAAACAAGCATTCATTTGCTGGCATTCATTCCTGTAGCCCATTTCACTTGTGCAATTACAAATGACCTTGCAATCTGCAGGAGGGAAGTACAGTGAAAATGTCAATTAAACTTTTGGGGAAGTGTCAAGGAAGTCACAGTACACTGGATTGCGTGCTTGGGTTAAACAACAAAAATTACTGGGCTTGGGCATGCCACAGATATCCCTACCTCACACTCTCGTCATATTAGGAAAGTTATCATTCTCCTCTCCTGGGGAAAAGCTGAAGGACTTCTGTGCCCTCCCTTACTAGGGCTGAAGAACTTGGGAGGGGTGGAGGCTGTCCATGCCTCTGTCTTGGCTCTGGCCTTTGGTAGTGAACTCATAAATCCCTGGCTACCAGAACTTCTCTTTGGCTGCAGGAGCCTTCCAGGGAGTCCAGACAGAGCAGGAATAGCACAAAGGTAAAATCGCTACCTTGCAGTTTCTGCTATATAGGCAGGACCTGGTAGTGTAAGTGGAATTTTTTTTAATATTTCTCCTGGCATGGATAGAAAAGTTTATTCTATAGGAATGCTGAAAACTGATGAAAAACCCAGATAAGGTGTTACAGCAAAAGCTTTATTAAAAATTGTTAAGGATGGAGGCAACCTCTCTTTTTTAGTGCACTCTATTTATTTAAACCATGTGCTTCTTGGGCCATAGGCCATGCCTTTTGTGAGTTTCTGTGGTCCATGTTTGCTGTCTGTGCAGTTGCTTTTGGGCCAACAACCCCATAAAATAATCTGTGGAAAAAAATAATTCTGTCTCCTTGAGTGAAGCAAAAGTATTGATGTGGCAAAAGAATCTCTTCCTGTGTGAATATGCCATTATTCCCAAGTGGAGAATCTCACTTTATTCAGATTTCTCAGTGCGCCTGTATCCCAGATCATCCATGTGTCTTTTTAAATCCCATTAACAAAGCAAGTGAGAACATGTGGCTTCTTCCAATAATACATTGCAGTAATTGCAGAGGCTGGAACAGGCAGTAATGATTTCTGCATATGTCACTACAAGAAATACTGTCCTGTTCTTGGTAGTTTATTAATGTTTTTCCACAAGGAAATTAAAAAACCTAGTTCAAACATTAAACACAGTAGAGGTGACAGAGTATTAGCGCCAACTAGCTACAAATTATTTTTTCTTAAAAGTAATTATTAAATATCCTTAGAGTTTTCCACAGTGAAGTTAAAAACATTACACAGTGTTGTCATCTCAGATGGCCGTGGATAGTCAAGCTTCTTGATTTTTGTTCAGATGTGTAATACATAAAGGCTATAATAGATATAACTCCTAATATTGCACAGATTTAAATAGCAAACTGAAATGCCATTAGGAGCCAGGTACTCAGCTAGTGTAGATATAACTTCAGCAGTACACTAATTATATGAGACATGTTTCTGCACCATAAATTCCTTTTTCTTGAGGTTTTTTTTTTCATGGATAGCTACTTAGCTGTTCTAAATTACCTAAGAACCACAAGTATTTGGCTGGGATGATCCTACAATGTGATTTTTCTTTCAGTACTTAATCAGTAGGTGAAAAACTGTTGGCAGCTTTGACGCGCTTTTTTTGGCATCCTGTTCTTTTTATTTGTATATAATTTGTGTGTCCATTTGTATAGTAGCTGAAATTCAAATGCTCCACTCCTAACTGTGTTGCAAAGGACAATACGTGTTGAAATAATGTGACTGGTAGAAAGAGAAGATGTGGAATAGCATCAAAGCACGAGGACCCAGTGGACTACTGATAGCAAATAATAATCTGAATTCAGCCTATTTCTCTGTTTAGGAATCGCTAACAACATATTTTCGGCTTTATTAACTCACTTTTTCCATAAGTTCAAATGATTTATACAAGTGCACTCGTAACAGCAAGTTGTAAGTGCAGACCTATAAACCCTGCCCTGCCTGTGGCCTCAGATCAACACGCCGCAATAGCACCACTCCACTGGGAAGAACTGGTGGCAGCTGTTTCAGAGAGAGTTGGCAGCTAATTGGCATTGTACGGTCCCTGTTCAACATACGCTTCTTTAAAGGAAAAAGAAAAGGAGATTTCATCATCATCATTTCCTAGTAGAGGCGCTGCCCACGTGGCTGGCTCTCCAGAAGCTTCCTGCTTACCCTTCTCACTTTTTTACCACTGGATATGTATTTTGGTCAAAGGTGTTCCTCCTTCCATTTAAATCACCAAGCAAGCATGGTTGAGCTTAAATGGCAGGATGTCCCCAAGCTGCAGGTACTGACATTAGGAGGAATTTTTACCTGCCCAGATTTTATTAAGCTTCTGCGTGTGGCATAAAGCAGCCAAGAGAGCATAAGCAGAGCTCAGAAAGCCACTAGAATGCTTCTGTTTTCAGTGCAATGGGAGCAATGTTGAAGTTGCTCTGAAACTGGCTTGACTCATGTTTTATAAGCATTATAAAAATGTTAAGAGGAAAGCACATTTATTGGATTACTGTAAAATTCTATTGTAATAACTGCAGTGTACTGCGATCTCCCACAGTATATGGGAAGAGAACAATTACATGTTCAGAATATATCATTAAAAAATGAAGTGGAAAAATATTTGAGAAAATAAGTTAACATACATGTAAAGAACAACTAAGCTTTTCTAATATTTAAAAAAAACCCAAAACCAACTAAAAGCATGTGACAGTGGATCACACTGTGGACTCAGCATCTGAAAAATAAACAAGTTAAGGGCCAAATAATTTTTCTGCACAAAGAATTGAGGGATTTTTTTTTCCCCTGCTAGAATGCGAGGAATGTCCAGCCCGATCTGTACTGCTCGTGGAAGATCTGGGAGGGCTTTGAGGTGGTTACAGTGAACTCGCGTGTTTTAACTGAAGGTTAGATCAAGGAACTTTTTCTTGGTCGAAGGCTGAATAAACCTTTCAGGCTGAGCCACTCATCGACACATGCCTTACTGTTATCCCAAAATAATGTCGTTCTGCACCAAAATGTCGCTGGCCAGTGGGCTGTGTGGTGTGTGCTTGCAGGCTCTATCAGGCCCGTGGAGCACATATCCTCCACAGTCGGCCATATCAAACCTTTGCCTTCTCTCTTCCAAGATGGTTATTTATCCTTGAACAAAATCTGCTGTTTTCCATGAACTTAACTCCTTGTCACTCCTCCTATTAGTTACTCAAATTAGTTACCAGGCTAGTTACAAGGCAGCCACTCATTAGTTACAGAGCAATCCTGACCTCTTCTCACAGAGGCCACCCCTGCAAGCCCTTGCACTGCCACAACCTTGCCACCTACACCCAATACATAGGTGAACAAATTCTGTTACTCTCAGCGTTGAACAAGTTTCCAGTCATTAAGGTCTTTGAACTTTATCAAAATCTGAATTTTTGCTGTGAAGAACAGCCGGGGCACATTTTGTGGGATAAATATTTTCCTTCTAGGTCATAGATTGTAAGGAAACAAAGATCCAGCCAATTCTTCTTGCCTGTGTATTGTCTCTTAAGACTCAGTTTGTTGGATGAGTTAGGATAAAGGCTGTTTCTTGTTCATTCACTGATAATCACACATGAAAGCATGTGCATAATAATATTTTTCTGTAGATTTTAATTCATTCTAGAACACTATTATTTTAATATTCTCACTTACTTCCCTGAAGAACAGGCTATCCCACTGCAGTGCATATGGAATCCCTATAGAAAAGGCCATCAGCAGATCTGCACAGAAAGTATGGCTTCTTTTTCCCCAGAACTTTTCCAGTCCGCACTGAAAAAGGACAGAACAGGTTGTAGGTGGAGGCAAGGACCCATGAATGATTAATGTTTGCTACGCAGAAGGCAATGCTTAGTCTTAGCAACCAAAGGCAAAGCGTCTGGGTCTGTCAGTAAGCAGTATGACAGCTACTGGTTGCTACTATTTTTAAATGCTGCTGTCGAAAGAAAAGTTGGTGCTGGACCATCAGTTTCAAGTGGGCCATAACTGAGCCATGTATTGGTAGCTGTTCCTCTTTGCTGTTTAATATCTGGCTAGGCGTCTTCAAAGTACAGATGTTTCTTCTGAAAGGTTGTGTTTTGTGTGTGTGAATGCAGCATTTAATATTGCATAAGGAAGGGCCAGAAACAATCCCTGGCCCGATGTGTACCTTGGTCTTGGACACTCAGCTTGCCGTAATAAGTGAGTAGTTCTGCATTTTTCTCCTTTTTAGGACTTATTTTTTCAAATGCTCTAACTTCGCTTATGATAGTGCATCAATCTCACTAGCCTGGGTTAGCTTATTCAGAATTGACCAAGAACTCTGTTTTAGAATTATTTATTATTATAATCTACCTACTCATGTACGCTCTGTAAAACCTTCTTGAATTACTTACTGTGGTACAAAACTTGTTCTTTCTGTTTGTGCCCCTCTTCAGTTGTTAATCTAAGCCAAGGGCACTCAGCTTGCAAATCTGACAGGTAATTAGAGGCTCCAGTTGATCAGATCAGCTTCTCTCATTCTTCCTACCACTCACACCAGTCTGGGAGCATTCCCCTGCTGCTGTTCGATATCATGCATCCCATATATCAGGCTATACCTGTTCCATCTTTTTCCCATACATCCTTGCTGTCACTTCCACTTTCCACTGACTGTCCCTGGATTGGGAGAGGTAAGAGGCTGGTAGCACAGGGAGGAAGGTCATGGGGTGCCAGCAGAACTGTTGTACCTGCAGCGTGTACGTGGCCTCCAGTGCAAACCAGGAGGCAGTGACTGTGGACCGAGGGCCAGCTTGCTAACAAGGACGTGCTTCGCTGTGGCTGACCAAGCAGCCCAGATGTGCGTACTTTCCAGTTGTTGGCTGCGTAACTATCAGGCATGTACTGGTCTGGCGGCAAACTTCTCTTCCCCGAGCTTAGTCTGACTTCACATACTGATGTACTAGCTACCAGCAAGACAGCTACATCATGCTTTGGGCCATATATTGCTCAACTCTGATTTACGTCAGCACCGTGTCTGAGCAGCATATTTATGTAATCTGCATTAGAACTGGGTGGCTGTTGTCCTCTCTAGTAGCTGGCAGCTGAAAGAATAATGGTTTTGCAGCTGACTTTGCATGTAAAATTTGCTGTCCTTCCTGTCATGGTAGGTGGAAGCCAAAGAGCACACCAGATAACAGGAGGAACTCTGTCACGCTGAACGCTTAAATCATATCAGAACAGTTTTCAGACTCCAGGTCTGCAGGTCAGCATGAAGGTATTAGGTATCTGCAGGCAGGAGGCTTTTTCCCTGGAATGAACACCTGTGAAATATTTGCTGACTTCAGTCATGCAAAATGCCTGATGTGGTGTCAAGTGAGTGCTAATGGGGCAAGCATAGTGATCAATCACGTCATAGCTGCTAGTGTGACAATGTGATCCGCTCTTCTGACGTGGCATTATCACCTTTTTATTAGGCTGCCAACCACAGTATGGACAACTTGCAAATGTTTTACATTCTGACCATGAAGGTGCAGACAAAGATATTTTAACTGTGGGGTTTGTTTGTCTTTAACTGTAATCTGAAGTTTTTGCTTTTTCAAAAATAACCAACATCCAGGCAATTATTCAGTTGCATTACAGCATATTTTCTGTATGTTTATTGTTTTGCAACTATTTTTATATTTTTGCCATAATTCAACCCCTCTTACTCCCCAGTACTTCTCATTAGACCACAACAGCTTCTGTCGAACATTCCTTTAGAGATCAATTTCAGACTCTGGAAATTTCTGATTTTAGTCAAAATTTTTTCAGATACTGTTACTTTTAAATATGCTTTTCCATTTAAAAGTTGGGCTTCTTACATGTTTCTGGATCTTAAAACATACCAGAAGAAAAAACTCTGAATTCTGTCTGGATCTTCTTTGTCTTCTGAAATATCCTACCTTACTGATGTGCATGACAACAATATGAACTGAATTAAGTTCCCATATGGTTGAGTTACCAGAGGTACAATATTGAAATCCCCATGTCTTCCTTATACTTAATTCTGGGTCATCTAGTCAGATCATATAATCATAGAGTAGATGTTTATGCCTTTCACCCTGCCTCTCAGACTCTAACCTTTTGAGGGTTATCCTTGCAGGTAGACTGAGGAGAAAAATCCTTTTTAATATCCATTATTCATTCATTAAACTATGATCCTGAGGTATAAAAGAACCAGTCTAAATTAGATCTTGGAGTACTGTAGTAGCCACTTCTATTCCCAATCTCATAACTCTGTTCAGAGTTAAGGGGACCTACTTGTCTGTAGTCCTTCAAGAGGCACGCAAAATGCTTGTGCCCACAGTTTTAGGAGCTGTGCTATAAAACTTGACCTGAAGTCCTCTGTGCCTCTGTTTCTGTAACTTTCCAACTCTTTGCATAGTGACTGTTGGACCTAGTGGCTATTTTCTTCGTGTGCATTTGTGAAGTGGTATTGAGTTCCTTCCACGACTGGGCTCCGTAGGCAATCAAAATACTTCTAACAAAAGAAAACGTGCAGAAATGTCGAATTCCTGTTTTCCAGTTGCCAGAGTTCCTGCAACCAGGAAGACAAGCGGGGAATATGAAAGTGCTGGCATTTTTTCTTGTGTTTTTATTGAATTGGATACTTAGACGTTTTGAACAAATTCAAAGCCAAATAAATTGCCATCCTTCAGGACTTGCTAAAACCACTTCATAGTTGCAAAAACTCAGCAGTCTTTTAAGATGGAACTGTGAAGCAGGGAACAAGAGCAGCAGTTATTTCAGCCAGCTTTCCTCCCGCTTTTATTTTTGTTTGCCTGGCTCTCATTATTTCTCTTCTTGATAATCACACTTCTGGCAAATGTGATGTTAATATTTTTAATCACCTTATCCATAATACAATTGTTGTATTCAAAATAGACAAAAATTCTCTATTTCCTCTTTTAACTGACAGAGGTTTTAATGCCCTTTCATCACCAGAATAGAAGACTGTAAAATTTTGAGTCTCAAACTGCATGTGTCTGGAAGGTGCTGTCTTCATAAGGAATACCTTTCTAGACAAAAATGTGCTTAGAATTTAATTAAGATGGTAAAATATTGTTTGCAGTTTTCATCGAGCAGACTCAGAAGCTTAATACAATTCACAAAGACTTGTAATGGGGGGTGAAAGGAAGAGGGAGAATAAGCATCCAAGCAAGGATGACTTGGTTTCAACATAACTGTTATAAGTTCTCATTATTTTAAACATGAAAGTGAGTAAAAGCTGATGAGATTTTCCAGCAGAATATTTTTCTATCAAAAAGTGATGATTTGTTTTTTGGAAAAAAACTAAATGACGTCTTAAGACCTTTTTAGAACATAGGCTTAGGTCAAGAAAGGAAGGACAAGAAAGTTTAAAAAAGCACGCAGTTAAATTAAAGCAGTTTCACAGAACATTGCAGTTATCAGAATAAAAGGTTGGGAATGTAACATTGAGCATCCACATCTTTCTTACAGTTTGGTATTTGAGTTGCATCAAAAAGTGAAAATATGCACAGGCATTCCCATGGGGTCTCCCATCTCAGGCAGTGATGTTTCTGAACTGTGCATGGAAAGCAAACCAGAAAATACTAGTGTTTCTGAGCGTGCCAGCAGATGAGCTGCTACAGTCAGTTTGGAGTAGACTGAGATGCTGCTGCCCATTTGCTGTTAGCTACTTGCATTTCACTACTAGAGGTGTTACCTTGGGCTGAAAGTGATTACAACAGGTTTTAGCGCAGTTACTGTGGCTTGATTGACAAGACAGTAAATTCCAGCTGCTGGGGGCTGTATCATCCCAAAGTACTCAGGCTTGACTGCAGGAAGACATTTGACAATGGTATATAACATATAACTATGTCAGGAGTAGTTTAAATAAAGAAAGTTGGATTGTTATGTTGTGTTGGTACCCTGTATTAGCAGAGTGGAGCTTGTAAATATAGTATTTTCTGGTGTGAATCTAAACCCAATGTATTTGTTTCCATTATGGAAAACATTCTAGTATCTCTGGTTCTTTACATTTTTGCTGCATTGAAGCATGGCATGTGGTTGAAAATGGAGAAGGTGTGAGTTGAAGGGTGTAACAGAGGACATAAACGGTTAGAGCAGACAGATGCAAAGTCATAGTTTTGCAAAACACTTTTACTTTGAATTTCGAAGCTTTCTAAAATTCGTTATAATGCTTTATGGTATTTTAACAACTTCCTAATTTAACAAGTGCCTTAAACTTTTTTGCCTCTACTTTCTGAGTTTGAGGATTTCATTGTCTATTTAAATACCTGAAAAAGTACAAGAGGATTTACTGTGAAGTTGTCCTGGTGTAACATTTCCTTCTTTGAAGGTCTGTATGTCACTGCAAGTACTTGTGCTACCCCGGTATGGGTCTTTACTTGCATTTTATAGGCTTGTTGTGCTAGCTTCTTTATGAAGGGTGTTAAAAAATATTTAGACATCTGTTATTGCAGTTTATGTTTTGATTTAAATGGTTTAAATTTTCCACTGATTTTGTAATACAGGTTTAACTTGTTTCTGTTGAATTTAATCTTTTCAGGGTGAAGTTGTGGAGTTCCTTGATGAGCTGTTAGAAGTAGAAGAAAAGAAGGAATCCTGATGAGTGAAATCACCACAACATATTTTACAAAAGTCAAGACTCACCATTGCTCCCTCCTATTGTTTTTTGTCACCTGTAGTTCCAGTTTAGATATACCTCAAAGTTGCCCTCTTAAGGTCCACCTTATGTCACAAGATCCACTCCTGAAAGATCACTTCCATGCTGCACTGACTCTTCCGTGAGCATGGCTTTTCACTGTGCATTTACAGAATTGGTGCTTATGGGTTTTCCTCTTGAGCTCTCTTTCCTTTACACAACCACAACAAAACAGACTATTTGTATTTTCTGGGCTAACACTAAGGCTCCTCATTTCAGTGCTGTTCGACTAAGTTATATCAAGAAAGCTAAATTCCGAAGACCTTTTGTCAGATTATGAACCACAGAAGACATAACAGTTCCTCTAGACTTTCTCAGTTATGTATTGTATTATTTATGTATGTCTTTTTCTGTGATGATGAATAAAGTGATACTGAATCCCAGTCCACCTGAAAGATGTTAAGATACATTTAAATAGCTGAAATAAGATGATTAACAAAGCACAACTAGTGATCTTGTAAAAATTGCTTAAACTATTCCTTAAGCAGTGTTGATCTTTCTCAAAAACGAAATTAAATTCCATGATGTGAAACTGAGGTCACTTAGAACTGAATAATAAATAATTCCTTCTTCCTACCAGTTGTTACTTTTTCTGTTGAAACAACTTGTGGTTCCCGTGTGAGATGGTGCCAAACTTGTAACAATGATGATCGATGTGTTTAGTATTCTCTTTTGTAGAAAACAGTTTGTATGTTTTTTTCAGTCTGATGGGACTATCTGCATAGTTTTCATCCAAAAGTAAGTATAGGTGGAGACTTGAGGCAATTTTAAGTGGAATCATGAAAAATATTTGCATGTGAATTCCTGACATTATCAACTATATGGCAGAGTCCAACACAGAAGTACTTTGAAGGCTCAAAAAATGCCATGTTAGAGATGAGAAGTGAATTGATCCACAAGACTACTGAAGAGCAGAAATCCCATTGACCTCAGATGAGGATTCAGGATTTCATCCTTTGCTTTCCCCTTTTGTTTTTAAGGATCAAGTCCTGCAAGTGATTCTATCCCGCTTACATTAAGGGGACACAAGAGCATTCAGTGCCTTTATGGCTGAACCCTAATGCAGCTGAATGGAAGTGAACTGCAAAACCAAAATCTGGTTTAGGTTTTTAAAAAGGCAAAACATGTTCTACACTATCTTGCTGAGTTGTTGCTGCTATACTACAGAAGTACAGTGTCTACACTATTGAGTGTCTACAGATAATAAGAAGGGGAATCCATAGGATCAGGTTTAAGTGTCCTCCAGCCTGTGACAGAAACGAAACATTGTAAAATGTTAAAGTTGTGTGTGAAAGATGTTTGGAAGATCAGATTGGGTTTTTTAGCTTCTTTAATATAAATCGCAACTAATCTGCCAAAGTCGCTGGGCAAACGGTTTTATTCTCAAAATGAAAATCTATCAAGAGCCTTTTAACTTTAAGAGATTTACCCAGCTCTACTTGTGGTAACGAGACCAGAATCTGGCTTGCTGTATGCCTTGACCGTATAGAGGGTATATCAAATTTCCTTACGCTTTTTGTTCCACACAATATTAGCACTCAATTTATTGTAATTTTATGTAAGAACATAACTTTGTTTTTAAAACTTACCAGCAGTTGATTATAAACCATCACTTACTTCCCCATGAAATACATGTATTCTAATACCCAGCTGGGGTAGCTTCTTTGGTTTGTCCCTAGTTTTCTCTTGCTGGAGGTATGTGTATGCTCTAGGGAGAGGTTACTGCTCTGGAGGCCTCTTTTGTCCTTCTGCTCTCCAACCTGCATAGGACAACTCCAGATTTCTTCCTCAGGAACTCAGCCGTTGATGAGCCATTGATCATATGCCCAAATAACTTCATCTTTGATACTCTAACTTTGGAATCCAGAAGTCCCACCATTAAAGGGCATGGAGCTGGTTGGAGGTGGATGTACCCATCTACATCGCCTTAGTTTTACAACATTTTTAGTTTACTTTTTTCTTATCGCCATTTACCAAACTGAATTAGGAGCTCTGCCAAGCACCGACTGTTGTCTGGCTATTTGTTTCTGCGGTGCCCTAGCTCTGGTGTGCTGTCTGTAGGCACTGCAATGCAAAACCTTAAAGACCTCAAGAGAGGTGCCTCTAATAAGAGGTTCCTGGGCCTGAGGTTTTCCGTAACTATGCATCTTGTGTGGAAATACCAAGATGTATGCATAAAGCTTCTAATCGCATTTTGCCTGTTTGTGAAGCAAGTAGCATAGATTACCTTAGGTAGGTATGAGGCGACAGAAAATCAGTCCCAGGGTCTCTTTGGTTTGCCACGCAGAATTATTTCTTTCCAGTTGAAGAATTTCTTTCCCTTCTCCTCTCCAGTGCTAATTGCCAGAGATTGCTATGATCTTTTTTAAAGAACAAAGTATGTGGTAAAATATTTTCATCCCACCAGTAAAACATTGAGCACCAGAGTTAACCTGTTTTGTGATTCATTGAACTTCAATGAGTGACACTGCGGACACATTTAGCACCTATGCATCCTAGTTTTTCCTCTTCATCAAACAGTTATGCAACCATTGCAGGTCTCTTGGGTATTATCAGCTTTCTGGTAAGCTTGTGATTCTGTCTTTAAGGTTTCCTTAGCTGATCTTTTTTCATGTTCAGTTATTTCCCCAGCTCTTGATCTTACAGCTAAAATCCCCTGCCATTATGCCTTCTCAGGTGGGGATTTCGTGATTTACTAAGATGTCCATTAGCCATTGATTTATTTTTCTAAAGCCTACATTAAGTCTGATGTCCTTTACCGTTCCATTTAACTTGAGGAGGCAACTGATACTTTTGTGGCCTCCTGAAATGGCATTGTGATCCTTTTTTCATTTTGTTCAAGTGGCTGTGGATTTTTTCTGGCTTTCTTAATTTCTACTACATATGGTCCCAAGCCAGTTCAATCTTAATAAGTACAAGTAGTTCTCAAACCCTTGTTCTTTTCTAATGAGAAATAGCTCCTCTTCCAGTTCTTCAGTATTTATTGTGGCTTTTTTCAGCATTCTCAGGTTCTTTTAACTGATTTTTCTTTTGCTGCTGCTATTGTTAAATGCCAACATCTACATGTGACTGTAATAAATTAGTGTCTTTTCTTCCACTTCTCTGATCCTGCCAGCTCTTCTTGGGAGGCGTGCGGGAATATGATTCTTGTCTCCCTTCTGCCACCCCAAATTCTTGCAGTTGTGAGTTGTCTGCCTCAGATGTTAGCAGCTTTTGCCTAACTCAATGGGATATTTAGACTTTGTCTCCATTTCTTTTTTTGACAAGGCTTACAGAATGATGCTGATGCTCAGGGAAGCGTTGTTTTGTTGAAGACACCATGTTTCTTGTGACTGCCTCGAATGCAGCATTGGTCCTGTGTGTCTGCTGACCTTGGGCTGACCCTGGAGATGAAGTTCATATTGACCTCGGTGGTAGTATTGTTTGTTGTAGAGCCATACAATTAGGCTTTTTAATAATTGCTCACATTTCTAGTAACAAAGCTGGCTATTTGGGTAGCTGCTGTTGGCCTCTGATCCTCCGCTGCTGCCCACTGCAATAATTCTGAGCATGTCATTCAGTCACCACTTTCAGGTGAAGGGTAGATGAAGTCCATCTTCTGGCAGATAGCTAGCACAAGGATCTGTACATAGTGTGGGTCCTGTGCTTCATCTCTTGTTGGGTGGGGTCCTCTGTGATGGGGAACTGCTTAAAAGCTGAAGATTAAACTGAGTCACGAACACTGGCGCACTGAAGTCGGTATTTGGTTATGTGAAAAACATGAGTTCTGGCTGTCAGGACAATCTTTTCTTATGTAAGAACCAAAGCTTGGGCAAGGGAAGAGATTCTCAGGTTGGAAATCAGGGTATCTGACAGACTGTGCTAAGCATATAATATTTTTCAAATTAATACATGCTCTTACTGATAGTTATTCTTCATGTATTACCAGCTTCTTGCTAATTCGTCCTCATAAACAGCAATATTCATTAAAAAAGGAAGAAGGGTGGTAGTGATTTTTCTCCTCGAAATTTAATTCTGTTCCCATATAACAGCATCGCAGGCTCCATACTTCTGTGTCTCAGCAATTCTGATAGCCAATAAAGTCAGCTACGAAAAACAAGTACTTTTAGAATGATCAGTTCTGGCAAATTCAATGGGAATTCAAATGTTCTGCTGGGCCCCTTCATTCATCAGGGCGATTCTGCAAGCAGACCTTCATTACTTCTGTTGACAAAGCATGAGCCAAAAGCAAATTCAAACTGCTCCATTTTCCAGAGCTTTACTGCTTTGGAATGCTAAAATATAAACCCAAAAGTTAGTCGGATGCTGTTCTCAGTTCACCTGGAAAGCCCGTCCGATCAAGGAGGTGCCATTTCTTTATACTTGCCAGGATAAGCTTGAGGTAGAATTAAAGGTGGGTGTCCTCAACACAAGCTATTCCTCTGAGAATCCTATAGCGTGTCCGGCTTTACAAAGCTTTTTCTCAATACGCCATTGCAGTTAATGCCCACTGTGTATCTCCACACCTTTTAGCGAACTGTTGGTCTGTATTGATAACGAAGGCAGACATAGAAAACCTTTCAATTTCTAGACAGTCTTCATGAAAAATGGTTTAAATAGCATGCAGATTTTACAGCTCTGAAAACAGAGTTGTGATTAGACAAAGATTTGTTGGATTATAAAAGTACAAGTGTTTATTATGGCTGGTACTGAGAATAAACAGTTGCCTGCATATGCCAGCTACTATGGAAATATGTTTTTAAGTTCTAATGTGAGCTGTAAACCAAAGCTACTTCAGTTAAAAAAATTCAATACTTAAACTGTGGGGAGAAGTAGTCAGTGCCAGAGAAAACATTCCCATTTAATAATGTTTGAACATAGAGCTGTGATGCAGTTTGTAGCAAGGCAGTGAGAAAAACCCACAACTAATCCTTCATTGCAGCTGTCTGAACTTTTGGTTGTCTGCCATACTTTAAACAGCGACTTCTTTTTTCTGGTGACTCAAGACTTGAATGACCTAGTGTGGAGAGTTTAAGCTATATACAAAAAAGAAGTTAAGTAAGAAATAGCCGAAGTAAGTTGGGTTGCAAACCCAGCAAATCAGGGTTTTGTATCTCAAGTCCTCTTCGGTGCCTAGGAAAAAATATTAAAATAAATAGATACTTATTTATTTATTTATTTTTGGCAAGGAAATATTCAGTGGTTTAGACACCCATGTCTCCTCCCTCCCCTCTTCCTTCTCCTTAGCGTACTGATGATATATGGAAACTAAATTCTGTAGAGAGTTCTGAATTTTTTAAGCTTATAAATGCTAACTTTTTCTGTAGAAAAACTTTCGAAGTTTTCTTTGATTATTTTTAACTTTCTCTTCCCTTTGATGTACCTCATGGGTAGGCCTTTTAA